GTTTCCTAAGTGTTCTTAACCAAAACCATACTTGAATTTTTAGGATTAACCAAAAGAAATCAAACTCACCTTGGCTTGGGTGCTTCATGTTGGAGAAGAAGAAAGAAGATAGAAAAGTTATCTGGAAACATTTGTTTCCTACACATGCTCCACATGGGTATTAAAATACCCAATAATTATTATTTAATTATTTTTCTTGTTCAATGACTCATTTACCCCTTTCTTCTTCTTCATTTACTAAATCATCCTACACCATATATTTCAATTAAGCCCTTGAACTTTTTAATTTATCTAAATTGGTCACTAAAATTTAAAATCTCACACTTTGGTCACTAACCCGATATTGAGGATGTTACATATTCTCCCTCGTCTATGTCATTATTACGAAGTATAAGAAATTGTTCACTAATAATTCATTAGTACCAGCATCTTCCGTTTTATATCTATGGTTCAATTGTACACTTTATATTGTGTATCCGATAATATATTCAAGATGTATTTCCAACATAGAAAGTCATAATACTCTCAAGAATCGATAACAACGTTTACCTCATCCTCTTTAATAATAGAAGGATCATCTCACATTTGGTCAAATTCACCCTGATCAAATAAAATAACATCTATATGTTATCACATCTTAAAATTCTATTCATAGATTTTTACAAGTTTCTCATTGTGGCTCAAATCATGATTTAGTTTAACACACAAAACTAGAATTAATAATAATTTTAACAATAAACAAAAATTAAATTTTGATTTATCTTTTAACAGAATTTAGTCATGAACTAAAATTCTGAAACAAATCACTAACACGGTTGTTACTTTCCAACGATTTCTATAGAAATCAAATAATTCTGTTTCACGACATAATTAAAATCCCAATTGATTTCAAACACGAAATCAAAGATTCCAAGAAAATTAATTCTTGTTTATTTCCGATTTTGTTATTGGACAGACTCAAATATTCTGAAACAAAATCAGTAACCAAAGTTACTTTTACGACAATTTCTATTATACAGATTTGTCCACTTTGAGATTTTATCAAACCCGTTAAGACGGCAGGATAAATCCCTAAACAAATTTATTTGCTATATCATTTTCCACGATATCTAAGTCGTTTCATATTAAGAAGGTAGAAGAAGGAGTTCCAAATCGTTTCGAATTAAAAAGAAATATTCAGATTTCACCTACCTGATTGGCATCATCGTTGTCAACCAAAACTTGAATTCTTTATCATCTTTATTAACTTCATCATTGTTAATCAAAACCCAAACCATTAAGATTCAAGGTGTACCCCACAAAGTGTGCAACAGCAGAGATCTTGCAAAGATATTGGAATCCAATTATTTGAATCCCTACACAAAAATTAATGGAGTCATATCTCACATTAAAATTAAATTTAAAAATATTCCTCAAAGAATTTGAAATTCATAAATTCAAAATTGAAGAAAACTTATCTTTGGCGTAAATTCCTCTTGATTTTCTCCCAATATTTGTTTTGCCGAATTTTTTTGCACTTCATTTGTACACAACAAAGATTAAACTCACGAAATCTATATCATCTCGGGAAAAAAAGAAAAGAAAATCAAATATGTCTTAAGATTGTTAGAAAAATTGCACACGCATTAATCCGAGAATGATATAGAAAAATAATAATGAATAAAAAATATAATTATAAAATTAAATGTAATGAAGAGATAAGAGATAGAACGAGTTTACTTTTATTTTGAGATTGTATCCGAAATAACAATTTGAGACGAAATCAATCCCGATAAAATAAATCAAAAAGGTTAAACTTATTAGATGATAATACAAAAATAAATGGAAATAAAACACTCATTTTACTTTGATTTATCGATCGGAAACAGTGAGGCCTGTCGCTACACAGTTTTCTTAAAATAGATTTTCAAACCACTCATTTGGTGATCGAGTACGTTGGTGCTCGAGTTCGTTGGTCTTCTGTCTCTCAGGATACAACAACTTATGATCAGCTACAGTAGCACATCTGCATATATCATGAACGATCCGTGCCTTTGACTATCACTAGAAAAACTAAGGAATAAATTTTTTTTCAAGATAAGATAAGTTTTTGAAAAACTGAGTTGTGAGATATTTTGAGATGTGAAAAACCAAACAGATTTACTCACTATTTATAGGGGATTTTCAAGAGAGATTTAATTTAACCAAATATCTTTTAATATGCAACATTAAACATATAACAATATCTTTCAATTTGAAATATTCAAAAGATATAAATTATTTTACTATTTAAACTTAAATATGTATTATTTTAATTTGAAATATACAAAGTATATAATTATCTTTAACATTCAAAGTTAAAAAGGTAACAAATACCTTTTTAATTTGACATATTCAAAGAGTAATTATCTTACTAATATTTAAATTAAATAATATATTTATTTTGCAATGATCAAAATGTAAACTCCTTTAACTATTCAAACTTAAACATATATTATTTTAATTTATTAAAAGAGTAATTATTTTACTAATATTCAAATTAAAAATTATCTTTTAATTTATCATAATCAAAAGAATTATAATTTAATATAAATATTAAATCATTAATTAAATTCATCGTATGATTAAAAAAAAAAAAGATAAAGGCCGTGAAGCGAGGTCAGAGACCAAGGTTGAGGATAACGATGAGCAAAACGGTGGTGTGAGCATGGTGTGAGCAACGACCAAGAGAGCAGCAAGAAGTCGCCGCCTCCGAGAGGTGGCCGTTTTAAAGAGGCGGCCACTAAGGTTTTGGCGGTTACTGTTTTGGGGAGAGCGAGGGAAGAAGAAGAACTGGTAGGGCTTATGAATATGGTGAAACTGAACCTCCAATGCTTCCCTTACACCGGTCCACCTGAATGGCTGATACCGTCGAAACTGCAGAGGCTCACGAGTCTTTTGATCAGAGGTGGGAAACTGAGTTACCTGAAACATGAGGAGAGGAAGAAGTGGAGGAAGGTGGGCACTTTACGTTTGAAGTTCTTGGTGGGTTTTAAGATGAACTGAAAAGAGATGCAGAAAAAGTTCCCCAAATTGAACTACTTGGAGAATGTTCGAAGCCCAAGGATCACACTTTGCCCATGCGATGACAATGGAATCTGGCAAGCTCCTTCAACACTAGACTTCTTTCCTGCCTTTTCTTGTTCCTTTTGTTTTTCACTTATCAGACCATTGTCTCTTTGCTCTGCTGCATTTCTATTCCATCACTTTTCTACTTTGTTCAAAGACTTGTATTTCAGTTAAAATAACATGATTGTATTTTAATTAAATTGATGTTTTAGTCTAAAATTTAGTTTTTTAAGGAATTCAAATGATGTCATTTTGATGTAAGTTATAATGTCATAACGTCATTGATTACTTAATGAAGAATTGAATAAAAAATTCAATCTATAAATTTTAGTGAATAAATTAAAAAAAATTAAAAGTATAATTAGTAAAATAAAAAATAAATAAAATTCAGTATATTGTAATTTACCCTATATTTGGGCCATTGACGTATTGCTGAATTATTTATCTTATTTTTCATAGTACTGTTTAGAGTAAATTATAGCTATGATCATTTAATTATTTTTCTTTTATCATTATCTTTTTAATTTTTTCAATAAAATTATCTAACTATCTAATTATTGAATTTATATATTTTATCAATTTAATCATAATTTTAATTTAAGTTAATAAATTTCAATTTTTTATTAAATGGTAACACATGATAACATGATTGGAAGATCTTTTTTTTTTATTTTACTTTAATGTGTTTTTTATCTGATTAGTTAGTAACACATATTACTTCCCGGTTAGATAAAAATTAATCAGAAAAAACCAAGCAATGGGGGAATCTAACTCATATCTCGGGGCTAACTTATTGTAACTAAGGGCTATTATCTGCTTCATTGATGGCTAATGCATCAGGTAGTGCAACAACAATAGATGTCCATAAAACCTATATAATAGATGGATGACTAGTAAGTAGTATATCTAATTTTATAATGTGGAATTTCTATATCATTTTTATAAAAAGAAATTATAATACTTCTTTTAACTTTTAATCAATATTAAATTAATGTTTAATCTGAGAGTTACAAATAAGATAAGAACTGAGTATAAGAAATTTAAAAAAAAAAGGTAAATATAAGAAATTTTAAAAGAAAACCCAACTTGGAATGAAGATGTCCATAAAAAACGAATGCAAATAGAAATAGAAGAAAAAAAACAGCACATCAAATTGCATAACTTCAACGAAAGACAATGGAAATGTCAAGGAGGTAGAGTAAGGGATGGCAAACGGACGGGTCGAGTGCGGATATTCTCTCTCTTATTCTCATACCCACTTAATATTTTTAAATTCATCATCTACCATGATGGGTAAATTTTTTTTAAATTTACACCCGCCCAAACAAATACATTCTTAAATCCATCCCCACACCCACTATCTAACTGGAGACGTATCCGTTAAATCCGTTTGATAACAATCTTAAGTTATACATAAGCAACAAATATAAAACAAACACGTCCATAATAAAATAAATCAAAGATTATCCGAGTTAAGTATTAATATAGATCTTAAAGTACATAAAACATCATAATAAAAGACATAATTAAAACCTAGAAACATAAATGACAAACACATAATATTTTTGTTCTTTAGCATACATAAACATAAAATTATACCTAAATTATAATGGTTCAAAATTTAATAGGTATTTAATGGGCGAGTAGACAGATGTGTGACGGGTAAGATCTCTAATTTATCCCCACCCACTACCCGTGACGGGTACCAACTTTTAAATTCACACTCGTTCACTATCCACTAAAATTATATTACGATAACAATAAAACTCTATTCTAATATACAACAAGATAAAAAAAAGATATAGTAATAAACTGATCTAACGTCAAGTTGAGAACAATTTTCGTAAGATCACTAAAATTTTATTCATCACAATTAAATAAGGTGCGATGCGAAATTATACTCGTTTGTCATATTAGGCAGTGTTGTTATTCTGATTAGCTTTGTTTTTGTCGTCGGATAGCTGTTGAGCCTTGATTTTACCCATCATCCGTGCAACCCATGGCAGACCTCCACACCTCTTCATCAGCTCCTCCTTCACCTCTTTCGAAACCGTTTCATCTTCCGCTACCTCTTTATCTCTCACCGCCTCGTTATATATCCACCAGCAGCTGTCCGGATCGTTCAGGGGCTGAAGACGGTGCAAATTCTCGTCCCCCAACAGTTTCTTCGCCGCTTCCTCAGATCTACACGTCACGATAACTGCTCTCCCGTTCTCGTTTGGAATTCCTTTGAAGCAATCCTTGAGCTTTTTGTAGTAGTTGTCCCCCTCTGCGTCCCCAACATCATCAAACACGATTAAACACTTTTCCTCCTTTAGTTTCTGGTTATGAACATCCAGCAGTGAAGAAACGCCGTCCACGTCGGATACGAGCTCGACGGTTTCCTCCGTATCTTCAACTCCGGTTGTCTGTACCCCGGGCACTTCCGACAAGGTTATCCAGAACATTTTACTGTAGCTAGCCTTCACCCTCTCGTTTTTAGAATCGTCCTGCAAAGGGTTGTTTTTCCGACTCCGCGCTGCCCTACGACTCCGATCGTCTTTAAGGAGCCAGCCCCCTCGTCTTGGAGAAGCATTATTTCGAGAGACATCTCGTCTTTTTTAAAACCACGCACGGCGCGTGGAGCTTCGTATTCCTTTTCTTTTCTCTTCTTCAGTGGCACGCTGGAATCGTTTTGATTAGCATCCCCGTTGGGATCTGCAGCCGCTGCTAACGGTGCTGCTTCTGCGGCGGGTCCATCTTGCTTCTTGTCTTGTTTACGGGCGGATTTCCCCTTGCTGCTCTTCTCTTGGGATTGAGAAGACAATCCCGCTTGGTACTGGTCGTACAGAGTCCATATCTGGTTAGCGTTAGAGCCATTTTTGGAGCTTGAAGTTTGGACTTCAGTCGTCGTGCCCATCTTCCTCGTAATCCTTTTGAAGATGTTGAATGATACTACTGCTCTGCTTGTGAATAAATGGAGAAGAGATCCTTTGCATATGCTAAAAAGGATGAGACACTTGTGATTATAATATACTAAACAAAACTTATAGATATAGGTTTAATTAGTAATAAGAGGTTGGTGGGGATACTATTTTAGTACTCAATGACTTTTATGGTCAATGATTTAAGTCGAGGCGTTTAAGAGCTCTAATGAAAAAGATAATAAAAATTGGCTAATGGCCCAGTAGTTGCATAACAACTAAGAATGGATTTTTTTTTATCGATTTAAGTATTATATGTTTAAATAGATACATATATTTTCTTTTAGGCCTCTGCCCCAGGAATCGCGATGAATCAGACTCGATCCAAGTCCAACATCCCTGAATAAGAAAATTAAATTACCTAGCAGAAGCCTTGGGCCATATGGCTTCAGCAAAGCTTCCCTACTGTTGTTTATGCAAAACCCAGGGTTCTTTAGTGCATGAAAAACTTTTACACGCTCAAAGGTAAATTGGGCTTACCTCAGATGAATTGGTTGTCCCATAATCGACTCCTGGTGACCAAAAATATAATAAAAAAACATTAATACCATTATTAATGCTTCTATAAAAAGTGATGGAAGTACTTCAATGTTATTTATCCGTAACGAAGATGTTTTAACGTGTCTGATTAGTTGATGAGACGATTATGATATTATTTTTCTTAAAATGTAACAGAGATAGCTCAACACTCTTAACCAGAATACATCTTAACATTTTGATAACACAACGTAAGCATCTCAACGTTATAACAACATAGTGGAAGACATAAAATTCTCGGAGTCAGTGGTAAAAATATCTATAGAGAGTTACAATACTTAAATGAAGAGAGAATGAACTTCGATCTTTGTTTGAATTAGAAATGTTTTAGTACTCTACAATACACTAAAAGGAAGTTTTTCATGGCTCTTGTTTGGGAAGTAACTAAGTATTATTCTAAGTAAAGATGCGCATGGGTCGGTTCTATTCGAATTTTCGGTTAACCTAATCTGACTCAAAAATAGACCTTCTTCACCCGAACTCAATCCGACTCTAGTTTAGAATGACTTAATCCAACCCGAAATCGACCCGAGTTTTTTAAATAAAACCCAAACCTGAACCGACCCAACCCAAATACATATATTTATAAAAAAATATTAATTGTATTCAATAAATAAGGATCTAATTGAAAAAAATAACATAAATATGGTTATTCTTGCAATTATCCCTAAATATATAAGATAAAATTATATTATTTTTGGGTCGGTTCTGGTATTTTCATCCTAAATCCGAACTCGACTCGACCCGAACTTCAACTCTAAAAACCTTACCCGACCCGATCTGAACTTGAATCCGATTTTTTTTTAAAAAAGGACCCGATCGTATCGGATTAGAAATCCCTGGGTTTGGGTCCTGTATCCATCCATAATTCTAAGTTTTATCTCGTCTAATGTAGATAAATATCACCAACTAGTTGATCTTACGGGGTGAGACACTAGATCCCTTAAGCAAGGTCAAAAGTTCAAATTTTGACGTTTGTGAATATAACAAATTGGGTTGAGAGGGTTGTTTCCATAATGGACCTCTACAAAATTCAATCTAGAATAATCGATTAATATATCAAATATCAGTGGCTAAAGAAAACAAATGTAGATAAAATTTTTCTTGTCTATAATATATATAATCTCATCTCATATAGTTTAAAACGAATACATTTGACTAACTAATAAATTTATCATAGAGTCTTTAATCTAAAGAATCATCGGAGAGGTTGCTCTTGTAACTATTATCTAAGTTATGGGGATACGAGCGAGATGAGCGTGTCACGTTGTTTATATTGTCCACCCTATCCCCTTTTTTCCCATTTACGTTCTTGTGATGTTAGTTTCAAGAAAAATGTTCTTGTGATGTTGGGGGCCAGCCTGCCATTACAATTACGGTTGAGATGTTCAAGAAGGTCGAGGCTGCACGTGCAAATTTTGTAGCTTGATGTATGGTCATTGGCTACAAAATCTAAGTACATTGGGGGAAATTTTACGAAGAGGACCGGGGGTTGTGATATTTGTTACTTTTCTTTGGGTGTGTATCTCCATTGATTTCTTTCTGTTAGGAGATGTTCTATGTTCATTGTACGAACGGTTGATGGTAATATTTGAGTTCGATGGTTATAGACGATTCGCTCATTTTAATTTGAACGAAGAACCACAATCGATTATTCATAGAAGAATTACAGACGGTCAACGCCGTATGACTTAGAAGACTCAAGAATATCTCAGAGAACTCGAGAAGAACCTTTTTTCAATCTTGAGTAATGGACTTTATAGTGACTTAATAATATTGTTAATCCTAGAGTCATGATTGTTACTTGTAGACTGTCAAGTTATATATATATATATATACATGATCATATTTGGATATGAAATATCATGCGAGTTCAAGGATGAAATGGTGGAGTTACTGAAGCTTAGTTTTGCTATAGATTCAATGGATGATTATAAATTATTTTGCATTGACGATATATGTAAGCTTGTAAATGAATTTTATTCAGATGACTTCACGGAGCAAGAAAAGTTGCACTTGAAAGTTCAATTAGAATATTTTGAATTAGAAGCTAAAGGGAGCCTTGAATTGAGAAAGACATCAACAATTTCAAAACTTTGTCAAGTATTAGCGAAGGCTAAAAAGTCAATTATTTATCCTCTACTTGATTGACTTGTTCGTCTTGTTTTGACTTTTCCTGTTTCTACTTCGACCACATAACGCGTTTTCTCGGCCATGAAGCTAGCGAAGATTCACTTGCGTAACAAAATGGAGGATGATTTTTTGTTGAACTACTTAATAACATATATTGAGAAGGAAATTGTTCGTGATTTATCTATAGATTCTCTTATTGATGACTTTGATCTAATGAAATAGAGTCGAGACAATTTCGAATGCCTATTTTTGACAAGTAAAAATGATCCTCTTTGTAATATTTTGTAGGTTTGTAATTAATACTTTTCTAGTTTTCTTGGAAGTTGTTTTTAGTTTATTAAATATAAAGTTCGTCCCCTGATATAAAATTCTGTGTCTGTTCCTCTTGTGTGAGAGTCTTGTCAAGATAAAAAATAAATTAATTAATTGATGAGTACAGAGTTTTGAATGTCTGAATTAAATTCAAATCGGTTTTAATTTTCACTCTCTTCTTAGTAAAATCTAATCTAAATTTGAAATAAAAAAATCATCCTTATCAAATTAGATTTAATTAGAATACCTCAAATGAAAAGAAGATTGTCATCCTTAGCTAGTACACAAGCTGCCAGAACCCAAACATTTCCAAAAAAGTTTGATAAGAATCATTGTTTTGAAAACTGGATCGGACCGGCCGATTTAATCGGGAACCGCTGTATAATCCGGTTCAATTTACACCGGTTGAACCGTTACTAGTGAACCGGCTAAAACCGTTGAACCGTTCGAACCGGACCGGCTGAAAATCGGAAAAAACCGAAAAAACCGCCAATTTTGTTTTTTTTTTTAAAATTCAACCAAACGACGTCGTTTGTTAAATGAGCCAAGTCGAACTCGAGTATTGCTGAGCTCGACTCGAACTTGAAAACTTTAAAAGTAAGTTCAACTCGACTCAAACTCACGAGTTAAAAATTATCAAGTTCAACTTGAACTCGAAAAGGCTTGAACTAAAAAAAATTAGAAGCTCGATTGAAGCCTAAAATTCAAACTTGATTAAAGTGAAAGAATAGTTGACTCAATGCTCACTAAAAGGCTCCATGATTTTGAATGTCAAATTACCCCTATTATTTATAGAAGTTAGTTGGGATGCTCTTCTATGTTTCTTAGCCATGTGAATTGTTTTGTTCTCATATTTTTACTCTTTAGACTTTTGGGATGCTCTTCTATGTTTCTTAGTTATGTGGGATTGTTTTTAAAAAAAAATTAAACCAAACAATATTATTTTATTGATTTTTTAACCCCAAATTTATTTTTTAATTATAGTTATATAATTATATTTATTATTTAATATGTTTTACCTTAAATATTATGTTGTAGTTAATCGGTTCGATTCTGAAAACCATGATAAGAATAAAACCAGCCAGTAAGTTAGCAACTACAAATATCTATTCAGAAATAGACTCATTTCAAAGCAAAATCGCTGCTTGCGAACGAAAATGCAGAGGAGAAGCAATCGAAGATGACCATTGGCAATAGCATCTCCTTCTTCATAGGAAAACTAGTCTTCATCCAAATCAACCATTTTCAACAAGAGGAAGAGGAATATAGCTAAGGCTTCCTATTCGGATTCAGCTTCTGCTTTATTCCGACCCGACCCGACAAAATTAATGTTTCACCCGACCTGACCCGACCCGAATATATGACTTAGAAACCCGACCCGACCCGACCCGACCCGAATAATAGTTAAAAAAAATTAATTCAATGAAAACAGTGACTTAATTGAAAAAAATTATATATGGAGGGATATTATGTAATATCCCTAAATATATAAGATAAAATTTATATATTTTTCGGGTCGGGTCGGATTTTTTTACCCTAAACCGACCCGAACAGTTGCAACATCGACCACTTTCATTTTGAGAATCTGAACGCCTCTGACTCTCGCCTCTATGCGCTTCAAGGTCTCTATCTGTCTTTCTGGTTCCAGCTTATCTGGTCGTTTGGTTTTGTATGGAATTTAGAAAAATTTAAATTTGAATAATGAAGTTTCGCTAGAATTATACTTCAATTGTC